CCATGAGAACTGGCAAGAGATGCAGGACTTTCAGCAGAAGAAGAAATTGTGCGCGTTATGAAGAGCGTATTTTATCGACTTCAACAGGAGATGTCAACACGGTTTTTACCACTAAAAGACCTGAACACAAAATTTGGATTTCTGCTGGACGTCAAAACTCTTCTATCCGACACAGATGTCGATGCAATTCGTCTAAATTGCACAGATTTTGGAAATTTCTATGACTTCGACATCAATGGCCACGAACTTTTTACAGAAATTGGAGATTGCAAAATGCTGCTCAGTAACGAGAGTGAAGTTCTACCAGAAACTCCTTTGGATCTTCTTGGTTTTATTGTGTTTTATGGAGACTACATATTTCCGAATTTGCGAATTTCACTGCAAATTTTATTAACAATAGCAGTTTCAATTGCAAGTTGTGAGCGGTCGTTCAGCAAATTGAAACTTATTTTGTCGTATTTGCGTGCTTCAATGGGACAAGATCGTCTCAGCGATCTTGCTCTTCTTAGCGTTGAAAGAGAAACATTGGAAAAAACTGATTTTGATTACGTGATTGACCAGTTTGCGACAGTGAAATCAAGAAAAATTAATCTTTTGTAGACTATGGCAACCAGTCTACGACAGTGAGTGAGTGAGTGAGCCATGTAATATAATTTCTATAAATTTGCTTCTTTAAATAAAATGTTTCATAAAAAAAATATTTTTATTCCTTATTCGATGTAATAAAAAAATGTGATTAAACGGGGGGGGGGGGGGGCAATTTTATAGTTCGTCCCCAGGCGCAAAATATCCTAGCTACGCCTCTGGTGTCAGTCTATGTATGTGTGTGTGTAAGTCCATGTGTGTGTGTCTTAGTCGATATGTGTGTGTGTAAGTACATGTGTGTTTACGTGAATGTGTGTGTGCGTCCACGTATGTCTGTGTGTGAGTCGATGTGTGTGTGTGAGTCGCTGTATGTGTGTACGTCGATATATATGTGTGTAACGCCATGTGTGTGTATCTAAAGTGCATGTCTATGCGTGTGTGAGTCCATATTTTTGTGTGTAAGTCCATGTGTTTGTGTGTGTGAGTCGATATGTCTGTGTGTCAGTCCATGGGCGTCTGTGTTAGTCGCTTTGTGTGCATGGCTCCATGTCAGTCAGTGTAAGTCCATTTATTTGCGTGTCTGTAGGTCCATGTGTGCGTGTGAGTAAATGTATGTGCTTTATTGACCTGCTCAAGGCCGATGATACCATCAGTTCATGCTTTCGGAGTCCCTCAAACTTTGCTCACGATCCTTAAGGACTTTCATGATGGTGAGCGGCCCCGCGTCAAACTACGTGGCCGTCAGTCAGAGCCATTCCCTCTACACCTTGGGGTGTGACAGGGATGCCCTCTGGCTCCACATTATTTAACATATCTTTTGAGCACGTAGTTCGTGAAGCCTTCAATGGCTGTACCCGAGGAATTACCATATGGTACAGATACAATGGGAGGCTGATCGATGCCCGGGTATGGTCAAGGGATGCCTCCCTATTGCTCAACCATATTATGCATGCCGATGCTCTGGTGATTGCTGCTCACTGCTGCTCAACCTGGAGCTTGCCACTAAGAGGTGGGGCCTTACCATCAGCCCCACCAAAACTAAGCACCTGCCTGGGTATTTTGTACCATCGAACAATCCACCCCACAACTCACAATTGGTGATGCGGCAGTTGTGGAGAGATTGCCGAGATTCCCATACCTGGCCAGTGTGCTCATGACCGGCTCCGGTTTAACAGCAGAGGTCTCACTCCAAATCAGTCGAGCGCCATTATCCTTTCATCGGCTGCGTTACACTGTATGGAAGCTACCTGCTCTCTTGCTCCGCATGAAGCTCCAGGTCTTCTCGGCCACGGTATTCCCTCCCTTCTCTACGCTTGCGAAACGTGCACCCCCCTAATGGAACATCTTCGCCGGTTAGAAACATTTAGGCTGGCCTGCTAACGATCCATCCTGGGCTTAACCATATATGTGTGTGCGTCTAAGTCATGTGTTTATATGTGTGTGGGTCAATGTCTGTGTGTAAGTTCATGTGTGTGTCTGCTTTTTTCGCCCAAGCAACGCCGGGTACTTACCGCTAGTTTTACCATAAATCGTAAAGTTTCCATGATATTGCAGTGACATCGGTTGATACATTCGTGCCATTACGTAATGTGACCTCTTGCTACATTTGTAAGCCTGCCATCTAGCGGCAACATTCTGAGAAGAACAGCACATGAGACGATCAGAAGACCTGTAACATTCCATTGATTGGGTCATTTGAATACATTCTTCCAATAATTATGCTCAATCATGTTGGACCAGTTTTACATGACGACCACGTGAGCCTCCCCATGCATTAGAATTGTTTCTACGTTTGCAGCAACTAAATTGGCAACACAGTCCGGGTATTCCTCGATTGGCAAACGTTCGGTTTTACGAAATGTAGCATGAACGCAATTGACAAATTACGGACAGTTTTCGATGAACGAAATCTCCGCGTGAGTAAAATAGCACGCGGCAAATGCCATGAGATGAAGTGTCTTGCCTCACGGCAGATGTGGAGCGTACGTTCACAGGAAGTTCCTGTTTTTTATGCTAATTTTGGTCACGTGACCAGGAAGTCACGATGTTGGATTTCAGTGAACCACGCGGGCAACGGCCATCTTACTCATAATTCAAGATGGCGGCACGCATCGCATCTCAGTGAGACCACAGCCGCACTTGTCCATTGTGGGAGCTTAAGAAGCATTGGCGGTAAGTTGTTTATATTCCTATAATATTGGCAATGCTGTTGTAATGTTGGAATGACCGTTATAGTGATGTAAATGCCTTTATGGTGCCGTTAAGTTGTTGTAGTAAATACGAGGCCTAGTTAGTAACGAAGCCTGCGACTTTCCTTATTGTGGATGTTACTTGTGATTTAGTAGGTCGAGTCAGACTTGTGCCTATGTTGCGATCCTGAGAGTAAAGATGACGAAGTATCTCATCCACAGTTTAGTGTTATGTGTAATGCTGTACTTTTGGGGTGCAGTGGGATGAATACACGATGTGCCTGTATGCAACGCACCGGCTTGTGCTTTTGTCTAGTTGTTCAGTGGTAATGTAGGGGCCTGGTCCGTCCAGGATCTATGGTTATCTAAGACAATGTTCTGATGCTGTGGTGTTCATTGTGTTGGTGTTTCCGGATTATAACAAATGCTGTATCTGTGTTTTCTCACCAGTTTTACCTTGTTACAATCAATAAATGACGATTGGAGTTGGACGTTCATCCTGGCTCCGAGGGTTTATTGAACGCAAGGTTATCTACTCGACTAGCGGTGCAACGCAGCGCACAGCGAGGCCGAGATATGAAGCAAGAACCACCGGGGAGGCTGCGTCATCCATTCAACCCGCAACAGCGTCACGGTGTCCCTGCCGTGTCACAGTCACGCCTCCACATCGCCTTTCCAGTCATTCAAACATCCAGATCTTTTCATGAGTTCCCTGAAAAGGTGAATTAATTTAGTTTTGAATTAATTATTCAATAGTTTTAAAATGTATATGCAGTATTATTGTTGTGCTGTGAACAGTGATCGAGATGTATATTTTTAGGTGAAGAGTTGAGTTGGAATGACTGTCCGAAACACATCCATAATTTTTCATATTAAATTAATAGGAAAAGTAATTTCAATTCAGAACTTTTGTTATACGCGTGCTTTTAAAGAAATTGAGGGATACGTGTGCTGTTGTCATCACCAACAGATATACTGATTGCAGCCAATTTACTAACGTTTCATAATTTGTACAATGTCAACCAAATTAAAGCCATACAGTGCCATTCATTGTTACACGACGATACGACAAAAACACGAATAACTGCTGGCTCGTTTTCTTAGTCTGCCTGCCATCTCGTGGCAAAATCGGGAGAAGACGTGCACGGGACTGCATGAGGGCATGCAACATGGGAATACGCCATGTCCTTGGTTGGAATCAACAACAACCGCCTTTCGCCACTAAGTGGCGGTGACGTTACCACGGCGGCGCTTATGTCATGCTAGGTGGACTTTGAGGCCACGTAAAGTGTCGACTGCCTGCTGGCAGGGAGCCACGGGCCAGACCCAGTCACCATTAGTTGACTGAGATGACTGGGCAGATGCACCATCTATGCTCCTCACTGTGGCAACTTTCTGCGTTTAGCCGCCCGACGCTCTGCTCATTGATGTAAGCGTCCCTCTTTTGCCCTCTATTGTTGATGGGGGACAACTGCATCTAACTGCCCAGTAGCGTAATTCACGAACCTCCTCCACAGACGCCGATCTTTTCACCGCTGGTACCTGTAAGTCCAATCAGCTCCACATCCTTCCGTACCACATCAGTCCATATCTTCTCTCGCCTGTGCCAGGCCCGTTTCGCCCGCTCTATCCAGCCAAACAGAAGCTGCTTGGGCATGCTGTGACTGGGCATGCGGGCTACATGAAATCAATACCCAATGCAACATACATAGTATCATGAGTGTACAATCTATCATTTACGATGTACGGTATGAAATGTATGTACTCTTACACTGTGGCCAGCAGAGCCAACGAGCTTGTGCAAATGAGAGAGCACAAAGAGACACGAATTCCAAAGTAAAATGTAGGACATGCAAATAAGCAATTCTTAAGCAGAACAAATAATTTCAATCATGTTGGACCAGTTTTACATGACGGCAATGGAACTCATTACAAATAACAAACAAAACACACAGTTCGTCAATAAAAGTGCCTTAAAAGGAGAATAGTAAAGAATCAGTGACGTTTCGGGCAATGGCTCTTCTTCACAGCACATGAGAAGAAGAAAAATGCGCATTATACTATTTCTGGACAATTACTTACGTAAGATGTTATTATCAATACTTGACGCTCAACAAATCTTACCCCTAAAATAGAATCACGCCCAGCAGGTAATATTTAAGACAAGGGGTGTGGTGGCTCAGCCGATCATTTTCCGACTCTTTGGTCCTTGACCCCAAACGCGAGATGACCACTGGACGTTCGATCGCGTTTGCCTTCGTGGCGCTGGTGGTGGTTTCTGCAATTGGCTGCTTGTTGCTCATCACGTTCTCAAGGTCAGTTCGCCATTGTTGTGGGGTTTTTATTTTTATAAATCAAGAGTGCTGCTCATATATTGTTGAAGTTAACATCGTAATTCGTCTGGGTTGATGATTGGGATCTTGGTGATTTACATGTCGACGTTCAATTATATTAAACTTCGTGTAGCCCGGGCCCCGTGACTCAGAGGTACCGCGAGCTGCTCGCTCCATCAGAAGGCAGTGGGGGTAACCAACAGTGGTTGTGTTATGGAGATACTCGCCCCGCGATATGAATGTGGAATTTATGCCACTTGGTTCAGGGTTGTAAGCCGGAGATGAGCACCAGTGCCTCAATGCTAATTCACGTAAAAATATAGGTTGAACAAATGTTATAACGATTGATAACAAAGTGTGTATTAAAATATTAATTATCATTAGCAATGGACTATCACGACAATATATACTTTAATATATAATAATCTATGACAGTGCATAACCCATTGTGGACCTCAAACAGCACTTATTTTGGCCTCCTATCAATGTATTCATAAAGGCATTAAAAATGTATATACGCGATTAGAGATAGCACAGAGATTACAGGAGACAGGCAATGCATTTATAAGATTTTCTGTCCACCAAAAACGGGTTTGGTGTTTCAGACGTCTAAATGCAATCGCATAAAAATACGCTTTTAAATGAAACACTAAATTAGCCTTTAAGAAGGGGGAGGTCAGGGTCAGGGAAGCATGGGAGAAAGGAGAGGAAGAGAGGGACGAAGAACCCAAACCAAACCAAACAACGAATCTCGAAGGAGGGGAGGGACATCTCTCAGGGCATCCATAAACTACTAGGGCTCATTCAGCAACGATGTGCCAAGGCATTGATGCATGATATTAGAGATAATGTATTCAAAATAAAAAGGTACGTATTCATGGGATAGGAGTGAGATGTATGTATGCAAGCTACAAGAGAGACAGGAGAGCTATGTTATTGGTAGAAGATATTTAGATTATGGAGATGTATTTCAATTGGAGGTTGAAGATAGTTGGGAGCTCCTTTACGATGTTGAGGTCCATACGCAATTACGTAATCTGAAAATGATTGACAATAAGAAAAATATTTGGGCAGTTGGCCTTCTTCTCCCCTCAACTAGTCACACTTTTCTGTTCCCCGTGTCTCCAACATTGTATAGAGAACTTCAAAGCGTGAGGGGCATCTGGACGCTTACGACGATCTTTCAGACGAAGGATAAAACCGCCAGGGAGTTACGCACAGAAATATTCTTCATGAAGACTCACAAGACGGCCAGTAGCACCTTCCAGAACATCCTGTTCCGCTTTGGCGAGAAGAACAACCTGACGTTCGCCTTCCCCTATGGGGCATACCAATTCTTCTACCCGTACGATTTCAAGGCCTCATCCGTGGCTCCTCTGCCACGGCATGCTGCCGGTGGCCGCTTCCACTTCCTGTGCAGCCACATGCGCTTAAACATTGCCGAGGTGGCACGCGTGATGAGTCCCAACGCCATTTACCTATCCATCGTGCGCAGCCCAGACACACACTTCGAGTCCGTGTTCCATTACTATGAGAACAATGACCGTGCGTTTATAGCAGCAAAAAACCACAGCAACCGCATTAATAAAGACCCCTTCAGGACCTTTCTCGAAAGCGCCGAGACGTTTTATAAACGGAACAGAAAGCGCGGTCCCTTCGGCAGAAACCCCATGGCGTTTGATTTTGGACTCAACCCCAACGCTGACGTGTCAAGTCGTGAATTCCGCTCCGGCTTAGCGCAACTTGATGCCGCGTTTGACCTGGTCATGATCACCGAGCGCTTTGACGAGTCCGTGATCTTGGCTAAAGAGATGCTGGGCTGGGCGATGGGGGATGTGGTCTACCTATCCAACAACAAGCGTGCCAAGACTCATAACGATAAGCCACTCGAGCGAGAGGACACGCGTCTGACCGAGATGATCCGGCGCTGGAACGCGCTGGACGTGGCTTTGTACGAACACTTCTCGCGTCGCTTCCAGCGCCAGGTAGAGGCGTTCGGAGTGGGGCGAATGCGACGTGAGGTGGACGCCCTGCGCAGAGAGGTGAGCGCCCGCAGAGAGGAGTGCGTGACGAGCGAGGTGGATGCGAAAAAGATCAAAGCGAGAGATATGATGCCGTATATTCCAAAGTCTGTGGTCATCCTGGCCTACATTATGAAGAGCGGCCTGGACCCACTGACACGCGAGCGGTGTCACCGGCTGCTGTTGCCGGAGCTCAAGTACCACACGCTACTCTTCCAGCGGCAGTACGGCTCCACGGTGGAGAAATACAAAAGACGGGCGACCAAATATAAACCCAAATCTTAATGAAACCGCTGAAACACATCGCTGATGTCATCAACAAGCCGCCATCGTCTCTCACGATCTTGAGATATAATGATCCATCGAGCGCCTTCAAATCAGTTGATGTAATTGCTCCATCTCCTAGAATCACGCCTTCCCTCAGCCTTCGGCAATCACCCCTTCTAGTTATACTTAATACTTTAAAATATGTTAAAATACCTTTAAAAAGTCATAAATAGTCTTGATTTGAAGCTTTCGTGGCTGCAGGAATCCCAACTCTATGGTTCTTTCGGTAAAGTCACACAGTATACAAAATCCGTGATTTGATCCCATCGGTGAAGAATGCGATTCCGGACATGCAATGTCCTGGTGTCTATAAGCTGAGTTGTGTCTACGGCAGCAGTTACATTGGTGAAACGAAGCGACGTGTCTCTGACCGGGTTCGCCAACACAAAGCGGATTTGAAACACGGCAGAACCAACACCTCGGCAGTGGCGGATCATTGTTTCAACGCTGTGGGCACACATGACATTGTATTCTACGAGACCAAGGTGCTCTGCAAACCCTCGGGCTACCATCAGAGATTTGTTCATGAAGCCATCCAGATATACAAACAGACAAAACTTTAATCGAGAAGATGGATTCAGATTGAGCAATCATTGGAAGGACATGATAAACATCGTCAAGTTTTAACTGCGATATTTTCACTCACCCACCCATGTCGTCTTGGTATCCGGTTACTAATTCAAGCTCATTGACATGTTAATTTCTCCAGCCCCACTCGTCTCTGCACGCCACAAACCCTCCCCCCTCTCCCCCGTGAACTCCTGCAGCCACGACTCTACAAAAACTCCTCCCCCTCCTTCCCCCTCCTTCCCCCCCTCCCGTGCCTATATAAAGCCACAACAGCAGATCATTTTCTCACCTGAAGACGGGCGCTTGTGTTGCTACCGAAACGTCGTGTTTTCTTTTGTTATTTTTCTATCTACGTGACTTTACCGAAAGAATCAGAGAGTATAGTCATAAATAGAGTTTAAGCCGAGGTTATCGTATACCTTTACAGCTGATCGTCGCCACGTGTGGAATGCCGAAGAGATCTTTCTGACTGGTTTGAAGCCTTCATTTTGCCTGATGTAGAAAATAAAAGTTAAATAGTCGTGATAAATAAGAGCACAATCAGAGCACCTGGAGTACCCAGGTGTCCAAGAGCACGGGTTCTTCAAAGACATGTATAACACTTTAGAACTGCTGTTTTCAGGGCAGCACTGATTAGAAATCCCTCATGACCGTACTCGCCGTGACCATGATGTGACATTTCTCTCCGTAGCTCCGAGGAATGGCATGCATGATCTGTTTACACTGAGCCCACTGTTTTATCTGGCGCAGTGCATTTTTAAAATTTTCCAAATATCATTGTATTTGATTAACTAATTTTACTGTCTGTCTTATAGTTGGAAGAATTAATAATGCAATATTTGGGATTTTGAATACTTAAATATAGATGTTAAGGCACCCGATAGGGGCAATATTTTTTCCATATGTGGAAGAGAAAGAGGTGGGAAAAAAACGCTCGTGTTTCCTGTATATACGTTTTCAATCAATATTGCTAATAAAAACAACAACAATAATCAAAAATACCAAGTGCCTTCTAAAGTTTATTGTGCAGTTATACATTTATGTAAATTTGAAAGTGAAAGTAATTAAGGCTTATGAATCTTAATTAAGTTTTATTCCTACTATAGAAGGGGTTTTAACAAATATTTTAAATTACGCTGTCGAGAACGCATCACCATATATACAATGGTATAATGACCACTTTTAGTGCCTAATCAATTAGCACTCACTTCTCCATCAACGCATCTTGGAGCGCTAAGCGAGATCTGCCCGTAATTGTCTCCCTGGCTTTGACCTGCCATTCCCAGTCACGGGGCCCTGCTTAACGGGTTCCCTATCAGCCACGGCGTGTGTGCAGAGGCCCTGTCCAGTCTGAGATCATCAATCATGAAACTCTTAATTCAGTAGCTCACCATTGCAATGCATGGGCACTTGCTTTACTCATGAAGCAAATATCATACACACACAGGGTGAGGGTGGCCAACGGGCAGACGAGCAGCACGGGTAGCAGAGAACAACCCTCCCCTGTGCACACGTTCCGCCGAGCTACTGCGACGGGAACTGCCTCGGGTCGAACGAGGGGCGAGGCGAGGTAGCCCCATCGAGGCGCGCTGACCGCTTGCAGGGGGACTTGCCGAACGCGGGCCGCGACGACCCAGGCATGAACGCACAGCGCGGTGCTGGAATAGCACCTAAGACCAAAGCGCTCCATCCAATTTGCCACCACCAGGCTCATTGGTGGCAAAACAACACCTCTCGTGATTCCGACTACCAGATTCGCAAGCACACGACTCATTACCGCATCCTCACAGACCTTTTGTTAACGTCACCTCCACTTAGTGGCGAATGGCAGTTGTTGTTGTAGTACACGGACGTGTGCGCGTGTGTTCGTGGCGCGTTCTCGTCGCATCGGAGCATTGCTAAGTCTGTTCAGGTGTGCGAGCGCGCCGTGTTCGTGTGGGGGGCATTGTGTGTTGGTGTTGTGCACGTAATCAAGTGCTCACTTCCCTTCCTCGCGTTAACTGAGAGATGCGTGACAGAACAAATCATTTGGTGATACAGCGTTGGCAATGCAACTCATTACAAATAACCAAAACACATAGTTCGTCAATAAAAGTGCCTTAAAAGGAGAATAGTAAAGAATCAGTGACGTTTAGGGCAATGGCTCTTCTTTATAGCACATGAGAAGAAGAAAAATGCGCATTATACTCTTTCTGGACCATTACACATGTAGGATGTAATATATTATCAGTACTTTACGCTCAACATATCTTACCCCTAAAATAGAATCACGCCCAGCAGGTAATATTTAAGACAAGGGGTGTGGCTCAGCCGATCATTTTCCGACTCGTGGAGCCTCGGCCCCCAAACGCGAGATGGCCACTGGACGTTCGATCGCGTTTGCCTTCGTGGCCCTGGTGGTGGTTTCTGCAATTGGCTGCTTGTTGCTCATCACGTTCTCAAGGTCAGTTCGCCATTGTTGTGGGGGTTCATATCTTGTTGAAGTTAACATCGTCGTCATTCCTCTGGGTTGAGAGTCGGGATGTTGGTGATTTACATTTAGACGTTAAATAATATTAAACTTCGTGTAGCCCGGGCTCAGAGGTACCGCTAGCTGCTCGCTAAATCGGAAGGCAGTGGGAGATCAACAGTGATTGTGCTATGTAGTGATTCGTCCTCGGGATAGGAATGTGGATTTTACGCCACTTGGCTCAGGGTTGTAAGCCGGAGTTGAGCACCAGTGCCTCAATGCGAATTCAATGTTGTGATCAGTTTGAATTGTTCAATTCCTGCTGTCACAGCACGATAAATAAATGTTGAACAAATCTTATATGACACGAGCGAACGCATTTGGGGCCTCAAGCAGCGCTTACTTTGGCACCTTATCAATGTATTCACAAAGCATGAGATATATAAGCTATAAGAGATAGCGTAGAGATGACGGAATTTAAATGTATTCGGTGGAGACAGGCAATGTATTCGTAAGATATTCTGCGTACCAAGAAATAATTTGAATGTATCGGACGTTTAAATGTGTTTTTTTTAATGAAAATTCGGCTTTAGAAGGGGGAGATCAAGGGTCGGGAAACATGGGAGAGAGTTAGAAAGAGGAACGAAGAATCCAATCCAAAAAACTAATCTCGAGGTGAGGGGGGGGGGGTTAGGGGAGGTCAGGTTTAGGGGGGACATCCACCGGCATCCATGAGGGACTAGGGCCCATTTAATAACGAGTGCCAGGGCATTGATAAGAGTCTGGGTTCTCTATAGGGGGCCCCTCTCCTGGCTGGCGGAACTCGACGCGGGCATTTAGCTGCTGGGCATATATCCGCACGCTTGACGGTAATGACAGTAATTATAACTCATATAGCGTCTACACCAGCGGTCGGGAACCTATGGCTCGCGAGCCATATATGGCTCTTCTGGTGACGGCATATGGCTCCCAGACAATTTTGAGTTGATGAAAAAAAATACAAAAATCAGTTTGGAACTGATTTTAAAATACTTGTGATATTGCTTAATAATACTGTGTAATTTTAAAGTAAACAGAAATTAGTTTTGAAGATAAATTTCACGGGTCACGGGGCCTCAACGCCTGCATGAAGCTCAACCTCACCACGTACGAACCAGACTACAAGGCCATCAGCAAAACCATGCAGCACCAGAAGTCGCATTAAAAGTAATACATATTTAAGTTATTATACGTTAAAAATACTATATGGCTCTCAATGCAATATATTTAGAAATATTTGGCTTTTATGGCTCTCCCAGTCAAAAAGGTTCCCGACCCCTGGTCTACACGCATCCACTTTTCAAGATGCGATAGGTCCTGGGAGTGCCGCCGTGTGTTCGAAGGCACCTCTATCTGGATAAATGTATTCATAGGCAGATAGGAGATGCAGAGTGATGAGAGATCAATATTTGTTGATGCCAGATAGAAGATATATGACAGAAATGCAATACATGTATACATTGGAAAGGAGTGGGAATCATGTATTTAAGTTAGAAGAGAGTGCTACGTTATTCGTCGAAGAGATAGAGAAAATATAGGTGTTTGTAGAGGGGAAATATGTACCGGTATTTAAAAAAACATAAGAAGTATAGTGTTTTCAGAAAAGATAATAATGTATATTTTTATACATATAGTATAGGATAGATGTATTCATATGAGATGAGGGATACATATTTTATGACAGGTAAAATATAGTTGGAGCTCCCTATCACTGCTTGGGGCCATACATAATTGCGCCATCTGCGAATGATAATTATTGCGACCGTTTACAATAAGCCAACAATTTTTGGCAGTTGGCCTTCTCTCCTCAAATAGTCAAACTGTTCTATTCCCCGTGTCTCCAACTTTCATCAGCGAAAATCAACCCTTCTTGGACGTATCCATCCTGGTGAAGATCTTCCAGAAGGAGAAACACATCCATCCCACGGTGCTTCACACGGACGTTGTCTTCCTGAAGACTCACAAAACGGCGAGCAGCACCTTCCAGAACATCCTGTTTCGCTTCGGTGAGAAGCACAATCTGACGTTCGCCTTCCCCTACATGACGTAC